TGAAACCGGCCTCTGAAACTGGCCTAGCAAGCCTAAGGGCAAGGGCAGTTAGGGACGGGCAACAAATGCTGGCCTTGTCTATGACACCTCCATCCCATGAAAGGGTAAAGGAAAAGTGAGGGAGCCAGATAAATGCAGAGCTATCCAGTTGTGTGACAATGGTGAGGCAGGAGAGGAAAATGCTGTGGTCAACCACATTCAAGACAGTAAGGAGGGAAAATCTGCCTTTGTCACCGTGGCGTTGGATCTTTTAATAGTGTAAGAGGATGGCACACTGTATGGAAGGCAGGGTGCCTCAATGGGCAACACGGTGGCTCAGAGGTTAGCACTGCTACCTCACAGAGCCAGGGACCTGGGTTCGATTCCACCCCAGGGTGACTGTCTGTGTGGAGTTTGCACATTCTCCCCATGTCTGTGTGGGTTTCCTCTGGGTGCTCTGGTTTCCTCCCTCAGTCCAAAGATGTGTGGGCTAGGTGGATTGGCTGTGCTAAATTGCCCATAGTGTCCTGAGATGTGTAGTTGGGATGGGCTTGGGTGGGATGCTCTGAGGGTCAGTGTGGACTTGTTGGGCCGAAGGGCCTGTTTCCACACTGTAGGGACTCTATGATTACATGGTAGGGTGGAAATCTGATTGGAAGCATTCAAACATGGACTTTCAGGAATGATGGGCACACATTCAGGAGGTGACGACATATTTGAGCACTTTGGAGAGGAAACGGAGCGTGAAGGTGGGATGGATGCTTACACTGAAGGTGCAGCTAAGGATTAGCGATTTTTGGAGAAGTCGGGGGAGACTCGAGAGAGAACCCTTAACAATATCAGCTAATACGAAGACCAGAAGGGGAAGCCTGTTGGTCAGAATTCTCATGGAATAGCATTGAGGAAGATTAGAAGAGTTTTGTGGACAATATAAGCTCAGGGAGGTCATGCCAGGAGATAAGAGGGAAACTAGAGATTAATAGTAGGGTAGGGGGAGTCTTTGGAGATAATTTAATGCAGCTACCTGAGGAAGAGAAGTGTGTGGCTGGGTCAGCTGATTGGATGGTCTTGATGCTGATGATTCAGAGGTCTGTGAGCTGCTTGCACTTATCATTCTGTCTGGCGATGCCAGAGGAGAGGGGTTTGCATTAGAGAAAAGAAGCTGGTGAGCAGATGGGAAAGCAGTTAGTTATGTTTTACACGGCCCATTTAGATCTGGCAGTGAATGGCTAAACCAATTGTCCACCATATCCTTTCTATTCCTTGGATTTGGAGGAGAGGAGATGACGGCCCTACTGTCTGGGATAAATAGCCGAGATGAGAGATAGAGAGGAACGGCTTAGTGGAGACTGTGAGGTTGAGTCAAGGGTGCAGTTCAACTGCGCAGTGGCTACAGAATTGTTGAGGTGAATGGAGGGTCAATTCTCTTGATGGCCCAAAGTTAGGTCCTATACTACTCAATCACTCTTTTCACCAGTTATCATAAGCATTGATGTAAGAGAGGAATTGATGGCAGTCTTGTGAGTTCAACCATCACAAAGTAATGAATGTAGGACTGGAATGGTTGAGAAACCTAGTTCATATCAGGCATACAGGAGCTGCTGCAGCTATGTCTCAACACTCCATTAACTCAGTGTTATTAACAGAGGTGCACGGACTGGCAATTTTCTTTTGACAGATTTGCTCTCCATCTTTAGGGAAGGATGTAACTGTGTTGGAGGTAGTTCCAGACTAATACCTGGAATGGGAGGGGGGCCAGTTGCCTTATGAGGAAAGGTTGGAGAGGCTGGGCTTGTATCCTCTGGACTTCAGAAGAGTTAGAGACATGAAACTCCTGAGGGGTCATGACAGGGTGGATATGGAGAGGATGTTTTCCCCTTCTGGAAGAATCTAGGACTAGGCCATTACAGTTTAAAAGAAAATGGCCATCCATTTAAGGCAGAGATGAGAAATATTTTTTCTCAGAGGGTCAAGACCCAATTTTCCTCAAAAGGGAGTGGAACCAGAGTATTTCGATATTATTAAGGCAGACTATTGACCAAAAAGGGGTGAAAGATTATTGGCAGTAGGTGGGACTATGGAGTAGTCAGATTAGCCATGATCTTATAGAATAGGGGAGCAGGCTTGAGGTGTAGAGTGGCCTACCCATGCTCTGAATTGATATGTCTCTATTTGTTCGGCTCACTCTCCAGAATGTTGAAACAGATCATTTTCCTTTATGTAAATATTTCCCGCTGTAGGTTCCGACTTGAGTGAGGAAACACCTCAGTTCCAGGTGAACGACAAAACTATTTTTACTGGGTACAGAGGGTGAGTGTCAGTGATTCCATCCAACCCGATGAAGAATGGAGTCAGTGATTCTGAAGTCAGAGAGTGTGACCACAGAATGAGGAGTTATTTCTTAAATCAGGAGGAAGCTGCAGGGAAGTGGTTTGTGTTCCAATCACTCTCTTGCTTATTAATGAAACAAAATTCAGCTGCTCTAAGGTGGACCCAGAACCATAAGATTATGTACATTGTAGTCATTGATTAACACAATTATAAGTTTGTTTATTGACTTTTGCCTCTGTACCTTTCTGGGGTCTAGGAATGACCTCTGGTGCTCTCACTTAGTTATCATTCTGTTCACTCTTTCAACACATGCTAACACCTCAGTCAAAACAACATGGAGGAATGTTAGATTTCTCCAGGGCAGTCAGGGCATCAAATATTGGCCTATCCCTAGATGCCCAAATCCCATGAACAGTTATTTTTCTAAAATGAATCAATTTGGGAGTTAATCAGCGAATTACCTCAGTATTGTTCACAACATTGATCACGAGAATGATAAGGTATAGATTTTTGGGAAAGAAAACCAGCTCTTTGTTAGAAACTGTCTCAGAGGTTTTCCATTCTGCTTCACCTGGTAACTGCTAGGGTCAGAGATAGTAAGAACTGCCAATGCTGGATTCAGAGATAACACAGTGTGGAGCTGGAGGAACACAGCAGGCCAGGCAGCATCAGAGGAGCAGGAAAGCTGACGTTTCAGGTCGGGGCCCTTCTTCAGAAATGGGCTGCGAGGGTCATCCTGTTCTTGGGTGACGTGTGTTTTCAGTCCTGGTCGATAAAAGTGTGTGGGCTCAATGTCACTTTCCACTGCACTTTTAGCTCCTTGTTTGACAAAGTGTAATTCATCAGGTTACAACTAATTTTTGTGAACCATGAATTACTGTTTCCCTTTACGTCCTGAAGAGTAGATCCAAAGAATCTCCTAATCTTGAAGAGATGCTTTGGGGGTCTGGGTCTGGAGCTCAAAGCTAATTGACATTAGATGTGATGGAGTTGTTTCCCCTTGTGGGAAAATCTAGCACCAGAGGGGGTCATCTCAGAAGAAGGGGCCACCCATTTACGACAGAGATGAGGAGGAATTTCTTCCCCCAGCAAGTTGTGAATCTGAGGAATTCTTTACTACAGAGAGCAGTTGAGTTTGGATCATTAAGTACACTCAAGATTGAGATAGATTGTTAATCAGTATGGGAATCAAAGGTTTTGGGACAAAGACAAGAAAGCAGGGTTGTGGATTAAAAACCGAAAGAACTGCGGATGCTGTGAATCAGGAACAAAAACGAAGTTGCTGGAAAAGCTCAGCAGGTCTGGCAGCATCTGTGAAGGATAAAACAGAGTTAACGTTTCGGGTCTGGCGACCCTTCCTCAGAACAGAGGGTTGTGGATCATCAGGTCAGCCATGATGTCATTGAATGGCAGAGCAGACTCGATGGGCCAAATGGCCTACTCTTGCTCCTGTGTCTTGCTCAGCAGGCATTAAAAATCCCACTCCACCCAATCCCGTGGATCACCCACATGGTGTGTCGAGTTAAAATTACCCCCTGTTTGTCAGTGAGTGAGTGGACATTTTGGGGAATGAGGAGACAGTGGGTGCAATTGGTATCAATTTATCCACATTCCATGGATTTGTTTCAGGAAACAAGTTAGAGATTAAAACAGAAATTGTTGGGAAAGCTCAGCAGCTCTGGCAACATCTGTGGGGAGAAATCAGAGTTAATGTTTTGAAAGGTTAACTCCGATTTCTCTCCCTCGATGCTGCCAGACCTGCTGAGCTTTTCCAGCAATTTCTACTTTTAGTTCTCATTTACAACATCAGCAGTTCTTTCGGGTTTTATTTGACTAGTTAGAGATGTGGTCCATGATTAATTCAGAACACGTGCATAGCTTAGCATTACTTAGATGGAATAGCTATGGCTCCCAAATCCCCCCCATCAGTGCGTGCTGTGTCTGGTTCAAATTGATAGAGATGAAATGCTACAATAATTCAATGCTTCATGATAGTTTCATGTGAACAGCAGGATGCTGAGAGGTGAACTAGGTTGATTTTGGTCTTTTCTGATTTAGCAGTCCCTATAGTCTGTTGCTGGCTGGGGCTCAGTTACTATTATGTGGGTCAGTGCTCGAGGGAGTCAGTCTTCTGCTGTTTGGTGCATTTGCTCCAAATGCAGCCAGCAGTTACTAGCTGCGTACTCTTACCCTCATCTCTCTGTCTGTGTGCTAAAATCTTCAAACTGGCCCTGCACTGCGCTTGTCAGGTGGGTCACTGATCCGCAACAACAACAACATTCAAATAGCACCTTTAACATAATAAAAGTTCCAGGACACTTCACAGGAGCAAAAGTAAAATGAAAGAACACATCCACCAGAATGTTTTTGACTCACTCCCTGTGCCGTGTGGAATCAGTTGTCTTTGTCATGGGGCAGCTGTAGAGAGTCCAGCCTTTTAGCTGTGTCATTCTTTGGTCTCAGTACATACTCTAGAACAGTAACCAATAGCAACTTGCATTTCTGCAGTGCTTTCAATGTTGAAAAATATTCCCAAAGTCCAGCGCAACCTAGTAAAGATATCCATCCAGTAGTTTGGGAATTCAGTTTGGCGGTGATCCTCCTGTAGTTGAATAGCCTGAAAAGCACTCAGTGTCAAGGCATGTGAATGAAGGACGGTTCTTTTGCTCTCCACCTGGTCCCCTGTGTAGGTCGTTACTGGGAGACAGTTGAAAGATTAAAGATCAACCAGTTCTATGGGGCGCCCACTGCAATTCGACTCCTGCTGAAGTATGGAGATAGCTGGGTGAAGTCACATGACCGGTCTTCTCTGAAAACGCTGGGCACAGGTCAGTACTGAACATGTGGTGTGTGAGAGAAGGGTGTGCCTCGTCATTGGACCCTGGGCTGGCTAGTGCCACCCTGCTCTGAAAAGAGGCCGTGATACCAGCACATGCCATGTTCAGCTAATCTCGCACAGAGCTCATCGGCAGCCCTGTCACTCGATACATGTGAAAATGGACAAAAAAATCATTCAATGTGGCAGGAGGTAATGGCTGTCTCCTGTACTCTGACTAGAACTATTGACCCAGTATGACAGTGAGTTCAGGCACTGAGGGCTTTAGCACCTGTGTTCCTGTAACCTGGCCTCTAGGAAGCCGATCCCCACTTCAGAGAATCGTGCAACATAGAAGGAGGCCACTTGGCCCACTTTACCTGTGCTAAATTATTGAAAGCATTCCAGATCAGTCCCCGTTCCCTGCACATTCCCTGTGATCTTACAGATTTTTCTTCCATTTCAAGTGTTTATGCAGCTCTCATTCAAAAGTTGCTATCGAATCGAAAAGCCTTTCAGGCAGTGCCACATCATAACAACTCACTGTATGAAACAGTCATCACTCTTCACTGCAAGGGTGGTAATCTTTGGAATTGTCTACCTTAGAGTGCTGTGGGAACTCAGTCATTGAGTATGTTCAAGATGGAGATTGATAAATCGCTATTTCCTAATGACATCAAAGAGATATGCCGATAGTGTGGGACAAAGGTGTTGAGGTGGATATCAGCCATTGGTGGAGCAGGCACAGTGGGCTGAATGGTCTAATCCTGCTCCTGTGCTCCTATATTCTATCCTCCCTTAGCTTCTTTGACAATAACTTTAAATCTTTGCACTCTAGTGGGACTGCCTGACAATGGAAAGAGTTTCTAATTTTTTTACTTAATCAAAACTGCCCTCATAGAGTCGTGGAGATGTACAGCAAACAGATCCTTCAGTCCAACTTGTCCATGCTGACCAGATATCCTAAATAAATTTAGTCCCATTTGCCAGCATTTGGCCCATATCCCTCTAAACCCTTCCTATTCATATACCCATCCAGATGCCTTTTAAATGTTGTAATTGTACCAGCCTCCACCACTTCCTCTGGCAGCTCATTCCATACATATACCATCCTCTGCCTGAAAAAGTTGCCCCTTGAGTCCCTTTTAAATCTTTCCCCCCTCACCTTAAATCTATCCCCCTCAGGTTTTGGATTTCCCTATCCTGGGGAAAAGACCTTGGCCAATCCATATACCTGATGATTTTATAAATCTCTACAAGGTCACCCCTCAGGCGCTGATGGTCCAGGCAAAATAGTCCCAGTCTATTCAGCCTCCCCTTATAGCTTAAGCCCTGCAATCCCAGCAATACCCTTGTAAATCTTTTCTGATCCTTCTCAAGCTGAATATCGTCTTTCCTATAGCAGGGAGACTAGAATTGAACACAGTATTCTAAAAGTGGCCTAATTAATATCCTGTACAGTCGCAAATGGCATCCAAACTCCAATACTCAATGCACTGACCAATGAAGGCAAGCGTTCCAAATGCCTTCTACACCACCCCATCTACCTGAGACTCCAATTTCAAGGAATTATGCACCTGTACCCCTAGATCTTGTTTAGCAACACTCCCCAGAGCCCTACCATTAAGTGTATAAGTCCTGCCCTGACTTGCCTTTCCAAAATGCAACACCTCACATTTATCTAAATTAAACTTCATCTGCCACTCCTCGGCCCATTGGCCCATCTGATCAAGGTCCTGTTGTACTCTGAGGTCACCTTCTTTGCTGTTCACTACACCACCAATTTTGGTGTCATCTGCAAACTTACTACCAATATCTCTGAAATTTACATCCAAAATGTGCATATTTGATGTAAAGCAGTGGACCAAGCAATTATCCATATGGCACACCGCTGGTCACAGGCCTCCAGTCTGAACAACAACTCTCTACCAGCATCCTCTGTCTTCTACCTTCAAGTCAGTTTTGTATCCAATTGGCTAGCTCCTCCGGATTCCATGTGATCTAACCTTGCTAACATGCAGAACCTTGTCGAACACTTTGCTGAAGCCCATATAGACAATGTCTACTGCTCTTTTTCCTTGTCACTTCTTCAAAAAACTCAATCAAGTTGGTGAGACATGATTTCCAACGGACAAGGCCATGTTGACTATCCCTAATCAGTCCCTGCCTTTCCAAATGCATGTAAATTCTGCCCCTCAGAATCCCCTCCAACAACTTACCCAATACTGACGTCAGGCTCAGTGGTCTATAGTTCCCTGGTTTTTCCTTACCAGAACAATGGCACCACTTTAGGCACCCTCAAGCCTTCCGGCACCTCACTGCTGGCTGTTGATGATACAGATATTTCAGTAAGGTGTCCAGCAATCTCTTCGCTAGCTTCCCACAAAGTTCTGGCAAATACCTGATCAGGTCCCGGGGATTTAGCTACCTTTGTGTATTTTAAGACCTCCAGCACCTCCTCCTCTGTAACATAGACACTTTTCAAGCCATCACAATTTATTTCCCCACGTTCCCTAGCTCCCATGTTCTTCCCCGCAGTAAATACTGACACAAAATATTCGGTTAGTATCTCCCCCATCTCCTGTGGTTCCACACATAGATGGCCTCATTGATCATAATTTGGACACAGTGATTACGTCTCACCTTAACGATCTCTGCTTTATGAAGGCAAACTCCAGTTTCTAACATCTCATTAGACAACTGAAGTCTTTTCACCCCTAGTTGCAAACTAATAAGTCTCTTTCAGAACTCCTTCAAAATCTTGTCATCCCTTCTAAAGTCTGAAGGCCAGAACAGGGAACAGTATTCCGGCTGAGGCCTAACCAGTATTCCATATTAGAGATAACAAGGTGTAGAGCTGGATGAACACAGCAGGCCAAGCAGCATCAAAGGAGCAGGAAAGCTGATGTTTCGGGCCTAGACCC